ATGCGTGAAGAAGGGGGAGGGAAAGTTGGATTAGGAGGGGAGGAGGAAGGGGTTTATGGAGGGATACAAAGTGAATAAAGTGTAACTAATAAAAGTTAAAAAAATAAAAAATATATAAGGACACACTCATCTTTTATATTTCTTACTATAAATGAGGAAAATAGCAAATTTTCCTGCCATCTTCATCCTTTCCCTTCAACATGTGCCACCATCTAATTCCTTTGTGTCCTCCTCCTTCTCCTAAGACCAACATTTAAATAAGTCAGGTCTGCTCCCCCTTCTGCAGATGATAGTGGAAGAAAATCCACAGTGACAGCCTGATGCAGGGATGGAGAAAACCAGTTAGCTCTTCACTGTTCAGAGCAAAAAGTGCTGGCTGATTACAAGTCACTAGCTCCCTTCACTAACCCCTGAAACTGTTGGCTGACACAAAGCTTAGCTCAGTAATAGCCTGTCGCATACCTCCTCATTGTTATGGATTCTGTAGCAGCCTTGATGTGAACAGTCTTCTTTTCATTTGAATCAACTCAATGGAAAGAGAGGTGTTCTCCTGACTCTGCAGAATAAGTTCATAACATCCCTGCTTTGTAACCGGATTACTAAATTCTCCTCTCCACTGGGGGAGTGGGATGGACAGAATGACTTCACATTTTCACGGACCTTCAACTTTTTCTGTTGATCAACTGACCATCCCATCAGGGGCTTTAAAATTTGGGCCCACCTTATGTTGTCTGTTCCTCTGGGAGCAGAGTTGGGAAATCACTGGACAGAATTGTCCCTCTTCCCAACTCCTGTATCTCAGTGTGGCCATCCATGAACTATGTATGTTTTCATAGGCCACTTCCTCCTTGTTATCTTAACTTTTCTTATGTATTGTGGGCTATAAAGCAGATAATGTATACATCGAATTTCAGTCATCTTGGGCCACCACTAAGTTTTACAATAACTTACATTGTAATACTCTGTGTCTTTCCCCCCAACACCAATACACTTTCTTAAATATGAATTATTAGTTGTTAAGTAATATTTGTTAAGAACCTAACTGAATCAACCACATAAAAACTAGCACATTTATGTTTATAGCAGTTCTATTTATAAGTACCAAATTTTAGCAGAATAAAATTCTTCTAATATGTGATTATATCCGTTGTGGCAGGATGATACTATGTAATATTTATTCAGATGTCAAGAATGAAAATGAGTTGTCAAGACATAAGACAACAGGAACCTTTACACACAGTTGCTAAGTAGGGAAAAAAAGCAGCCTATGATATATACTGTCTAATTTTTACATGACATGTTGAAAAAGGCAAAACTAACCCAGTCTAAAAGATCAGTGTTCACAATGGTAAAACAAGGAGAGAAATAAGTAAAAAGATGGGATGTTTGGATCATTAAAACTACAGTGGGGTTCAGTAAACAATTATCAAAACCCACAGAAATTATACACAAAGCCTGAGCCCTAAAGTAAAGCAAGGACTTTAATTAATAGCATACAAATATTAGCTCATTAATTGTAATTAGTACTCCTCACCAATACATTGGTTCCATATATTGGTTCTGGTTGTAGGGCAAAACTGTAGGGTAGCTGGGCTGAGCATAGAGAACATATGTGCTCCATGATCAATTTTTGCTCTAAGAAATAGTCTATCCAAACAAAAAACAAAAACAAAAACAAACAAATGAATAAGCAAAATAACCATACCTGAGCATGGAACGCCGAGGAGTGGGTAGGATTAGTGGGGATGTGGGGCTTGAGAAGAGTAAGGGGAGAAGGGTCAGTTAAAACTGTGCATGAAAAGGCCATACAGAAAGTAGGTGCTCCACTGAAAACAGGGTAAAATAAAATAGAATTAAAAATAAAGTAGAATTTGAATGGAGGTACCCTATGGGTAGACAAAGCTGCTTGCAGAAGTTACAGGTTATTAAATGAGAACCCAGGTGGGGAATGTCCCCCTCTGCAGTACAGTCAGGGAATCTCCAAGCGCCCCAAAACAATACAGGCAAATCACTAGTGCTGTTGATTTCCCACTAGAGCTAGGTGGAAAGAGCTTATTGCTGCAGGCACCACACACTCTGGTCCCAGACTTAGAGGCATTAAGTTGGAATTGCCTTGGAAGAACATTCCAGGAGAAGGAATAGAGGGAATGTAAGAGCTGCGGAAAAAGAAATGGTGCGTGACAGATGCTGTCTACTCGGTGTGATATGGCCATTGGGCTTTGAACCTATACTGGCTATGTTAGCCTGCACAGGATTTATACAAGATTGCCCTTGATAACACCCTAATGCCATGTCATGAAAGAGGGAGGCGTTCACTGGGTTCCACTTCTGCCTACGGCTCTCTACACAGTTAGCGTTTGATTGACTAGGGAGAGACAGTTTATGCAGAGCTGTACCCATTGGTACAGTGCCCATGGTCCTGTAAACAACCCTTTAACCGTGTCTGTAAGAACTGTAATGAAATTCATTGGGTCACAGACACACAGAAGGACATAAAGTAGGACAGACAAAGACATTGGGATTGGTGGGAGAGACACAGGGAAAGGACAAATTTAGATAAAAAACATTATATGCATGAATGAAGATATTATAATGAAACTCATTATTACATGTAATGAGCACATGCCAATAAAGCATTCTAAAACCTAGCATTTAGCATTCTCTTAACAGAGCAGCCTAGAGAGAGATGCGGGTGATGTTTCCCTGCTCAGCAGTCTTGGCCAATGAAACACAGAAATATCAGGATGGCACACACAGAAAGTGAGCTGCGTCCTGTGCTGCAGTGGGTTAAATTCTGCCTCTCCAGCACTGCTCTCTCCCTTTAACTAAGAAGAATTTGGGGCATCTTCCTTTTACAGACAGAGTTCTAAGCCCCACCACACACACACACACACACACACACACACACACACACACACACACTGCAAGCCTCAGTGTGACACTATTTGGATACAGATCTATTAATTAATTCCAGGATGCAATTGAGACTGAATGGAGTATGTAAACGGGAGACCTAAACCCCATATGAAGGTTGCTCTCACATGAAGAGGGAATAGCTCCAGGGAGGGTATGCAGAGAGAAGACCAGCTGAAAACACAAGGAGGTTGCTGTTTGCCAACCGGGGGAGGGACCTAGAAGGAAGCAAGTCACTGACACCTTAGACTCCCAGCTCCAGTCCTGTAAGAAAGGAATTGAATGGTGTTTAAAGCATCTATTCAGTGGTATTGTGTTCTGGAAACCCCAGGGGCTATTAAAATACACATCCACTCCAGCGCTTTGGTTTGAGTAACTGTCATTATTGCCGTCATTAAAGCATCTTCTTCTTAGTTATATTTACTACTCCTTGCTGCCTTGGAATGAGATTTCTTCAATCTCTCACTTTCTTAAGAAACAGCTGGAGCAGGGGCCTTTTCTGATCCCCTAGCTTGGATGCCTTATCTGGCCTCAGTGGGAGAGGTCGCTCTTAGTTCTGCAGGGACTTGATGTGCCAGGCTGGGTTGGTGCCCATAGGGGACCTCCCCCTTCTCTGAGGAGGAGAGAAGAGAATGGAGGAGGGGCACATGGGGGAGGGACTGGGAGGAGAGGAAGGTTGCCTGAAATCAGGATGCAGAATGAATAAATAAATAATTTAAAAAAGAAAGAAAGAAAAAAGTGTGACTTAACAGTGAAACATTTGTGTGTTAAACTTGTGTGGTTAGTTTTACATTACCTTGACACAAGCTGGAGGCATCAGAAGGGAGTGGGGGAAGCCTCAATACAATTAGGCTGTAGGCACACCTAATCGGGTGTTTTCTTACTTAGTGATTGATGGTGAAGGGCCCAGCCCATTGTTAATGAGCCCAACCACTGGACAAGTGATCCTGAGTTTGATAAGAAAGCAGGCTGAGCTAGCCATGGAGATCAAGCCAACAGGCAGCACCCTTTCATGGCTTCTACATCAGCTCCTGGTTCCAGGTTCCTGCCCTGCTGGAGTTCCTGTCCTTCTGTCAAGCATGGACTATGATGCGGAAGTGTAAGCTAAATAAACCCTTTCTTCCCCTCCCCCAAATGAAATCAAATGGTATACCTTCCAACATACAATGACGTATGAAGTGCCTCAGTGGACAAAGGCCTGACTTACGTGACTCCCTAGCCAAGCCTTAGCAGAGGGGATTTATCCTACAGACATCTATTATTAATTGTCAATATGTTGTAACTGTTTTATTATTAGTTTATTATTAGTTTATTTATTAATTATTATATTATTAGTTTATTAGTTATAATATTACTAGTTTTAATATTATTAGTTGTTAACATGTCAGGCAGAATGTGTGTTTTATGAAAAACAACAGTAGATTTAAGTTGTTAAAGCTTAAGAAGCATTGCTAAAAATCTGTTAAACTCTTCTTAATTAAATCTACATGTTCTAAACAACCTCTCTTAAGAATAAATAAAATGGTTCAGAGCACCGGCTGCTCTTCCAGAGGTCCTGAGTGTAATTTCCAGTGCATAGATGGTGGCTCACAACTATCTATCTCTGTAGTCCCATGGGACCCAGTGCCCTCTTCCGGTGTGCAAATGTACATAGACAAAACACCCATATGGATAAAGCACATAAATAAATAAATCTTAAAAAAAAGGAAAAAAATCACAAAAAAATATGTAAAATATGTGAAATAAAATATGTAAAAATCATCTCAATTGCTGTATATTCATTGTTCATGTAAATGGGCTCCATAAAGACACTTATTTTATTCCATTTGATCATGTATTTGAACACCATCTATGCCCTCTCCTCTTCTTTTCTTTTTTTTTTTTTTAAGTAATTTATTTAATTTGATGTGCATTAGTTTGAAGTTGTCAGATCCCTTGGAACTGACATTACAGACTGTGGTGAGCTGCCATGTGGGTGCTGGGAATTGAACCCGGGTCCATTTGGAAGAGCAGACAGTGCTCTTAACCACTGAGCCATCCCTTCGGCCTGCCCTCTCCTCTTGACGTCAAGACTTCACTGCTCTTACCTCGTCTGGATGTGGAAGTTGTTGGTTGTTCCTGTGTGCTCATAATCATGAATGGAAGCTGCCAAGACCATCGCTAAAATTTCCAGTTCAGTGAGCCAGTGCTGGAAAAGGAAGGGAACAGCTCATCACACTGAGCACCACGGTGATCGTTTCTCTCTATAGGAAGGCCTTTAGTGTGTCCGGAAAGCACATGAAAAATAGTGTTGTTTCTTTCACATGTTTTCCCCCTGTTCCCTCCATTAATTGTGATAAATGGGTGCTTTATGGAACCAATGATTGTGTTACTTTTGTAAGTTCAAATTTTAAAACTCAGAATATGATTGTTCTTGCTGCTTCAAAAAGGAATCATTTTCTGTTGTTTGAAAAGTTGACTGGAACTCGACTTTGAAATTACAACTTTACAGCTTTGGGATCTTATGGTGTAAATTATAACATAGTGGTCTTTTAGTATGGTGTTCACCTTCATTAAAACATGTCTTTAGATAATTGTAAAAGACCATACAGCAGAGCCCATGAAAACACATTTCTACTTAAAATTGAAAGTACTTATTCTTTTCAAAAGAGAAACTGAAATTTGTTTTTAGATTTAGCGATGTGGGAAATTTTCTGAGAATTTACCTAATTTTGTATTTATAGCACATATAATTCAGTGGAACTTGATAATGACAAAGGAAAGAATACTGTTTTCATGTGAAATCCAGGCCCATCAATTTCTTTTACCAGCTGTGTGATTCCATTTCTCAATGCACTGTCCATATGTCATGTTTTCTATAACACAATAACACGTGTGGCAATTAAAGTAAACACAACATAATAAAATTAAATCTACGTGTCCCATTGCCTTGGCGTGTTTCACATGCCGAGTGAGCACATGGGACAAGTGTTGCCATAGAGAACCGCCGAGACACAAAGCTTTCCCATCATCTACAAATATTCTTTTGGACAGTCCTGCCAGAAGATAGGACTTGTGTTAGGAAAAAAAGGTTCTCAAGTGAGACGGAATTTTCTCTTGGGCATTTTTCTTTCATTTGAAACTCATAAAGATCTAACACACACATACACATACAAACACACACACACACACACGCATAAACACGAAAGCACACATGTACACATATGTATATACACACAGAGCCATTTACATACATAAATACATATGTAATACACATGCATACACACCCATAAACATGTACATACGCACATTTGCATGCATATATACATATGTATTCATGCACACACACACACACACACACAAGTTAAGATACCAGATGACCTTTGTAGTTCACAAGAGGACACAGGGTACAGGTACCATTTAATCGCCGGTAGAAAGGCTTGGTGACAGCAATGGATTTTGGAAAAGAGATGGCTGGAAGCAATGGACCTTTGCATCCTTTGCATAGAAAGAGCCAACAGGGAATGGCTGTTCTGTAGCAGAGTTGCCAGCAGCCCTGTTACATTTGAGAGTGAAATTAAATGAGGCTAAAAAGAGGATGAAGGGTATGAACCCAATTGGTGGACTACTGTGATTAAAATTCATGAATTCGAATTTTGTACAGAAGGCAGGCGGGAGCCGCTGAGTGCCCCTGAGTCAGGAATGGTGGAGCTGACGGCTGCTGTCCCTCTGAGCTCACTGAACCGTGTTCCTCTCACAGAACTGACGTCAGAATGTGGCACATAGCAGGAGATATTGTTTGTGGAGCTGGCAAGCATAGTCTGACCTTTCTTAAATGTCCTAGCTTGTCCCAAAGAGGTTTTTTTTTTTTTTAAATCTACAAGTTTAGTTATTTCCTTAGCTATAAGCACACTCACCACCAGCAATAAATGAATCAGCCATGAAAAGGTTAGCATCATCTCGAAATTCTACTTTTGCTAATACAGAAAAGATATTTTTCAATTGAATGTGAGAATTTTTATATTACCAAATTATTTTGCCACATAAACATAATCAAAAAGGCCACAACAGTGATAATTAAGGAGGGTTCATGGAGAAACTTCTCTTTGTGGAAGGCAAAGATGAACTTAGAAGATACATTTCAAATCAATTTTGACAACTAGGAAAATAATAATTTTAAATACGTATGAGCTGATCTATGATTAAATTTCATTTCTAAATTTATTTTGAGCCTTATAATTGATATTATCATAGTAGTTATTGAGTGTTGCTTTTTCTCAGCCAGTTAAATTTATAAATGTAATCAATAAGAGATGTTTGAAGATGACAGGTAATTTTTGTTCCCTCAGAAATATGTTTTTTTTTTAATGAAACAATGGATCTCTGGGGTTCCAACTGCTTTAATTTCATTTCTCCTCACTTCATGGTGACTGGAAGCTCAGTCCCAGCTCAGTCTGTTACGCAGGCTATTAGTGAGGTCAGTTTTTTCCTTTCAGTGACTCACAGAGTGTCTACCTGTACCAAGTAACTAGCTATACTAAGTCCCTTTGGTTCTCAAAGTCACCTCCTGCGTGCAGGGCTTTCATAGCCTGAAGTCAATTAAGACATGCTGATTGTCAGCTTCTAGAGTTAATGCTTCACAGCATACCGACTGTAGTAAAATGCCGTTTGCTCCGTATTTAGCTATTGGACACTGCTTTGCAAGGAGAAGCACATACATTTCCCCTAAACTTTGAAAGTGCCCAGAGGAATACACATTAATTCCCCTTAAGGGGAACTGTAACTCACTTCCCTGGGGCTGAAGAGAGACTTTCACACTGGGCTAACTGATCACACCTCAGCTCACTCCCCTGCTCCCCACAGCTTCTCTCTTCTTTCATGAAAACCTGATGAGCTTCAACTCCACAAACAATATCTCCTGCTATGTGCCACATTCTGACGTCAGTTCTGTGAGCTCAGAGGGACAGCAGCCGTCAGCTCCACCATTCCTGACTCAGGGGCACTCAGCGGCTCCCGCCTGCCTTCTGTACAAAATTCGAATTCATGAATTTTAATCACAGTAGTCCACCAATTGGGTTCATACCCTTCATCCTCTTTTTAGCCTCATTTAATTTCACTCTCAAATATAACAGGGCTACTTTGGGACAAGCCAGGACATATAAGACAGGTCAGGCTACGCTTGCCATCTAGAATAGAACTGAGTCCAACACGGGCTCTGCTGGTTCCTGGTGGGCAGAAATCCAAGGTTAAAATGCTGAACCATGAGCAAAGTAGACATTATGTGGCCTAGGGGTGAACTCAGGAAGGATTCTCAAGTTGGCAGTCCTCAGATTATATCAGAGGCAAGAGTGACTGCTCCCAGCATCTTAAACATCATGACAGGAAGGATGGAGAACGGTTGTTAAATGGGCCCTTGAGATGATCCATTATTCGTTTTCCACTCAGTAGATAAATATTTTTATTTTTATGTTGGCAGATAGTGAAGCTGAGTCCCATGGAAATGGACCAACATGCCAGACATCACAGAGAAAGATTTGGATTCAACCAGAAAAAGGAAAGAAAAAGTGAAAAAAAAAATTGCAGTTTCTTTTCCTTCTGTGGATTGCAGTGACTTTCATGGCTCAAGACAGTTGTCCATGTTCTAATCTTTCAAAAGCAGAATACCTAACTGACTTACCTAGACGTGTGAATGGGTAAAAGCTAATAGAGCTCTAATACCTAACTGACCTACCTAGACATATGAATGGGTAAAAGCTAACAGAACTCTAAGACTAAAATCACATTTGAGTTGCTGGGTATGTATGTGCACACGTGTGTTTGGGCTAGGGAAAGTTTCAAATCAGAAAATGTTATTGACTTGATTCTCAGGAGCATTTAAAACAGACATAATGACTATTTCAGTTTAAATGTTGGAGTCGGACAGTTTTTCCTTCACCTTTTTAATAAGTTCAAGTAGTTTGCTATAATTTAACACAGAAAGGTATTACATTGTGAATGCTAATGATAGGGCTTGGATTAACAGTTGTTTTCTTGCGGGTATTTTATAAGGTGCTTTATACTTAGAGACTTAATGGCTCTTCATTACCAGTTTGTGAGTCGGTCGGTATTATTGCCTCTGTTTTAGGGACAAGGAGGCCAAACTAGAGAGCTAGCATATTAGAAGTGGGAGGGAATGTTTTCAAAGGCAGTGTAACACTCCTAAACCCAGGCTCTTCCAAACAGAATTGCTGGGGAAGCCAGCGCCACAGAACATGGACTTTCTGCCACATTTTTTTGTATACTGATTAGAGAAAAATGGAGTGATCCTGAAGTGTGGAAGGTGGTATATGGCCAGTCAGTGGGTTGCAAATTCCAAAAAAAAGATTGCAGATCACCTCTCCTCCTTCTACTGCGATCACTAGGGAGAGTGAAGGCCACCAGCCATCAAGCACAAGGGCACTGGGCAAGGGCCTGGAGTGAGTGACCTTGTATTGAAGGAGACATTTGGAGCTAGCTTGTCATCACACCACAGAGCAATGGCTCTTTAGCAAATGGATTTGCTGCTCGCCCCTGTCACTGTGGCACAGGTTACAAGTTAATCAAGTGACAAAAGGAGAGGCAAGGAGCTTGCCAGTATCAAGTCCCTGCCTCTCTACGCCACTCACTGACTGTTGGGGACATTAACAAGCAGGAAGCTCTGTCACAAGCCCTTTCAGGCAATGTTCCTCAGAACACCTTGCAGGTGACAGATGCATTAGTCACCTGACAGCATTGGCTGGCCTGGAACTGGAGTGAGTGCTCTATAAATGTCTCTGATAAGGACGTCTGAAAATAGCAGGAAATCAACTCAATGTTAAAAGGAGTGACCCAGTCTTTTCCATACCAAACCTGAAGGGTGAGAAAAACCTGGAACAGGTTTAGCTGGCATTTCTATAATTCATTTTTGTTACAAAAAACCCTAAATGTTCGTTTGTATGAAAATTAGCATTCACCTACTACCATGGAATCAAGCTTGTTAAAACTACTTTTCCCAAACTGTCAAATTGGCAGTGTGGTCTCATTTTGACAAAATACTTAACACATTTATGAATTCAGTTCACCTGAAAAAAAATTGTATTTCATTCTGAAAATCATCCTCTCTTTTGTTTTAATTAAACACATTTTCTGGGTCTTAGTCAAGACTAACTTAGGTTTAGCATTCGACTAGTTTCATAATGGTCATACTAACAGGTGAACCCATGGCTAGTTTTCTGAAGAATGATTAAACCAGGAAGCCAGGTGTCATACCAATTTTGTTTAAAAAAAAGGAATTTACATTCACATTTGTGGTTTTCTCAGGAGTGAGTCTGACCAATGGCTTCATTTCTTGGTGTTATCCCAGGAAGCAGGGATGGGGGCTCAAGAAAACAAGATAAAACTTTTGATGCCCTCAACAACCTTCCTTGTAACTCTGGGGGTAAAGTCACATGGTGGATGTGAAATTCTCTGCTTTTCCACTCATGTGACACCTTTCTTGTCACAGTCTCTTTTCGGTGTAACCTTTGCACTTGGGATCCTTAGAATAAAGGCTTCCTTTTGTCCTAGCAGTAAAGAAAACAACAAGATGTGTTTGCACTGAAATAAATTGTAAGATGATGAAATTCTGGGCGCGACATCACATTTTTTTCCCAATTTTCTTTACAATTGAGCAGCTATTAAATTAGAACAAAACAAAAGGCATTGCTTCTTCAAAAAACCAATCAATTCACCTTATACTGTGGAGTGTGATTTAAATAAATCTTCTCTTTCCAGTTTACTTTCAAAAATCTCTACATTTGAGAAAGAGGGAATCTCAAAATTTGAAAGGAAAAAAAAATCACCTCACCATTGGAGAAGGACAGAGGCATTGCAAGTCAAAAGGCAAATGGAGAACGCTAAGGCCACAGAACAGCAGAGTGGCCAGGAAGACCCTGTTTCCAGTCTGCTGCACCATACACAGTGAAGCACGTGAAAGTAGAACATTCTAGAAAGAACCGTGAAAGGACACTTCCTTAAGACAAAAGGCTTTGGGGAAACCTGGGTGCTACACGGGGTCACCCATTCATGCACACCCGAAAGCAAAACAAAAAATGCTAAAAAATACTTCCTTTAGAAGAGTTTTTGAAATGATTGCTTTGTCATGGTTTGGGTATTTCTGCAGTGTAGTGAGACATTTAAACAGCCCTTAAGTCTCCATCTGAGCTTGTAGCCATATCAACAGCCGGTCACAGGAGTGAGCCATCTTGGAGCACACAGATGTTCTCAGAGGTCTCTAGCCACTGTTGCTAGCTGGCTGCAATCGCATGAGAGACTTCAGGTCCTCAAGTGTAAGCCTCCTGGCTGGGCCTCAGAGTTCAGAGGTCGCTGGGAGAGAGCAATGGATTATTGCTTTAAGCTGCTATGATTTTCTTGCAGCAACAGATAAGTGGAACACAGGGCAGGAAAGGGGTCTGAGCCTACGGCATTGAATGAACTGCAAAGTTTAGGAGACAAAGGAAAAAATAAAGACTGGAAATTGATTTGGTCCATGTGTGAGGCACTGTAGGAAGGGCCTGTTAGATGGATATTATATGTAGTGAATCCACATAATTAATAGCGGGAGGAGAAAATGCAGCTACGGTGATAATTTTCTACATTTGTTAATCTTAGAATATCATGTACCTGCTACACGTTGCCAAGCTATTTAGGACTCTATGCTAAGGCCTCAGAGGATTTTCTTGGGACCCTCTCCCTAACCCTCATGCAGAGTGAGGAGGCTGAAGGAAGGAGAGGCGTCCCCTGTGCACGGTGGGATGGGAAGGTTCTGAAAAAACCACGTCATTGAAATGCTAGCTTTCAAATCTGAGAATTGCAACCCGAGCATTTAGCTCAAACACATGCTGCTTGCAGACATGAATGCCATTATTTCAGCCAAGGTTAGCAGGTAAGAAACTGAGAGGGCGCAGGACTTGTAGGCACTCATCATTGCCTACCTTACTAGGTGTTTCTTTCCTTCTTCCCATTGTTGTTCTGAGCTGGAAGACACTGGAGAAATTCCTAGCCCTCCCACAATCTTCCATTACTGTTATGTTAATATTTGTATGTTGAATCTCCTGTCCATTCAGTCTTTAATTCCGGTGCAAAAGACAGAAAAAAAAAAGGTATAGAAAAGTTTCCATAAATAATTTCCCAGCCCCTTGAAAGGATGAGTCTGTTATTAGGAAAAGCCCTGAAGTAAGGGGAACTAGAAAGTGAGTAAGGAAATGTATTTATCCTTAACATATTCTGAAGTCTTTTTCTCTAGGTCAGTTATTTTACTTATTTTAGTTTTCGGTTGATTCCTGTAAGAATAAAAAAATTAACCTAGAACAGAATGCAGAAGCAAACTGCTCTTAAGCACAGTAGGCTTCACGCCCAGCAGTAGACTGTAGACAGACAATGTGCTCGGCCGCCACATTTGGAGGTTTCTTGGCTCAGATCTTCATATCAGGGCATCATAGTATTTTTTTTTAATTCTCTCTCTCTCCCTCTCTCTCCCTCTCTCTCTCTTTCACCCTACAGGATCTCTATATAGTTCAGCTTCCAGGTTAATGTTATTCCTGACTATGCAAATGAAGGGTCTTCCTGCCTATCATTTGTTTCTTGTGCCTTTTCTTGGGCTCTTTTCTCTCTATAGGTTTGTATTTTCCTATTCCAATGTGGTAGTTTTTTTGTTTTATCTTATTATATTTTGTTATTTAATTTTATTAATATTATTTAAAATTATTAAAATTTATATATTAGAAGCCTGTTTGTTTTCTAATGAGACAGAAAGGGATGGATCCATTTGGGAGATAATAATGTGGATGGAACAGGAGGAGTAAAGGTAGAAGAAGCAATAATCAGGATTTGTTATGTGAGAAAAAAATTCATTTTCAATAAAAGAGAAAAATACAAGCAAAAAAAAAAGAATATTCAACAGTTTAAATTTTGGAAAACTAACTTATTAAATATATTTTAATTAGCCTTTATGTTTTCTTCCACAGAATTAAAATATTTTCTAGAAAAATGTATAACTACTTTGTAAAATCCCAGTGATTATTACGGAGATGTTAGAAGTACATACAATACTGTACACACATTTGTCCATGGCCTCGGAGACAAGACAAACTCAGGAGAACAGTGTTTGCTGTTCTCATGCCAACACACATCACTTACAAAGGCTTTCTTACCATGATACCTGTATGAAGCATTATGTAATGCACAGTTTGAGCGACGTCAGCTGCATGAACCAAATTATGATAAGGATTTTTGTGCTTGCTGTAACCAACTTCTAAAGCTTCTGCAAAGGCAATTAGGCAAGAGACAGGAATCTGTGGAAAGTAATATTTATGATTATTATATTTTGGCCTAGATTGTTACACTACATAAACATGAGCACAGTATTTAGACATGGAACAAATTAATGAGTCAAACATGGGCAGTGATTTCAAGTTCAATGTGATTAGTCTTAAAAATCCACATGATTAACACGTTATCCTTCAGTTTGGAGGACTGTCACACAAATGAAAAAGCTCAGACCATATAGTTCTGAAATTTTATATCTTTCACAGCCAAGAAGAAAGGGCTAGTTCTTAAAGGGATAAAATGCTCCAATGTGACAGCAATGCCTAGTTTTCCTATCTGTGGGAGAAAACTGATGCCATCCCAATACTTCCCAGCCCTTAAAATGCCATGATCCCCCAGAAAATAAACGCTAGTGCCTCAGACCCCAGAAATCTGAACCAGATCTGTTGCTCAGATGCTTCTAAGTGAAGCCAATTGGAATAGCCCTCTTCCGAGTCTAAGAAGAGCTTCCAGTAAGTTAGATGTGGCGATGTAGTGCTGAGATCCCATAGCCCCTGCGGCTGAGTCGAGAAGATTGAGTCTTTGAGACCAGCCTGTGCAACATGGCAAATTCAAGGGCACATTGGGCCACATAGAAAGACCATGCTGCTAAATAAAGAAAAGAACGGGCTCATGGTGTAGTGTATGAGTGCTAGAATTCTACCGCACTTCCTCAGGACACATTTTCCGTCCAATAGTATTCTGTGAAGAATCAGGGGTGCCCGTATCTTGCCAGGATAAACTTTCCCGGTCTCATGATGCACAGCATGTTAGTGAGATACAGCTTCATCATAGGATGATTTCACACTCCTACCCTGTGACCTGCTAAATCAACCCAAAGGCATCGATCAATGAGTCAGTGTTATGTGCTGTCACTCTCTTAGCTTCTCACTGTTGACGTTTCTGACCTTGAAGCGGTTGATAAGATCATATTTGGTAAACAGTTCATAAATCATAAACTTCAGACTATGCTCCCCACTTGCTTCATTTAAGGCAAAGATGTCGAAGGACCATTTATCAACATCCTGTAGAAAAAGAGAGTCAGCGTTTTAGATAGATCAGCATAGAACTAGGCCTTTCATGGAAACTCACTCAACAGGTTAAGCATTGAACGGACCACCAGAAACACCGTAGCTGAATGTGTTATAAACTACACGCTAGTGGAGTGACGAGCTTTGGGATCGATTGGGACCGAGGCTCTCAGGCATAATACACTGCCAAGGTTTCTTTTCTTAAGTCCCAGGGTTAGGAAGCTGATGCAGTATGCTTGGGGACAGCCTAGTGCTGCCTTCATCTTTGCTCTCTCCGACTTACCACCACCATAAATCATCTCCTAGCCTGGCTCCATTTTAAGGCAGGGCCGCAGGTGGAGTCAGTTGAGGGATGGACAGGCATTAGTACTGATCTTTCATTTCCACCCATTCACCCATCTGTTCTTTGCTTGCAGCGTGGAGAGCATCACTTAGCTTGAAGCACCGATACTGTCTTCCTTTGGGGTGTGAAAGTTCCAGAGGGAAGCAGAGCCTTAGCCTTTCTCACAACCCAGGATGACTCACTTGTAGATTCCTCCCAGATGCAGGGAGCATGAGCAGCAGTGGAAGGCCGCATTAGTGATTTCGCCACTGCATGCATTTCTTTGGGGGGTCCTAGGCAGGTCTCTAGGGGAAAAGGTAACACTGGGAATGGGTCACCTTTCAATGACACAGTCAGTAGGACTATCTTGCCAGCGTAGTCATCACAACATTCTGCTGAAGGAACCTAATGCAGCACGTTATTCTGTTCTAAAGTAGGTCCCACCTACTTTAGAAGGCCTGGTGAATACATGAACACACACACACACACACACACACACACACACACACTGGCAGATTTAGTGTTGCATAGTACATGGACAACTCAAGATCCGGTTACCACCTGACTGGCACACCCATCCTTGTTTATGTAAACTTGCCTAAAACATTATACCTGATTGGCTCATTAAATGACCTTTACCGGGCAGGGCTGAATGGGGTAGGCATGGCTAAGGTTCCTGGGCTTCTGAGGAAGGAAGAATGAAGAGAACAGAGGAAGGAGGAGGAGGATGGCTTAGCCTGAGAAGAAACCACATGGGGCTGGGAGGAAGGACTCCAAAAATGGTGTGAAAAGGCCCAGATGAAGAATAAAAGCAAGTATTTATAAGATTATGGATGGAAGATAGGATAGTTAAGGCAGATGGCATTGGATGAGGGATAGGAGATGGATGGCGAGGTGATTCAGAGAGCATAGGTAGGAATATCTCCCCAGCCCAAGGTACATGAGGCAATTATAAATCTAACAGGTGTCTGGGTCTTATTATTTGTGGTAGAGGGTTAGATAATACCACTGTGATAACCTTAGGGCTAATAATACAGGTTACATAGCCCAACAGCTGTTTTTCTTTACTACAACAGGACAGTTAAAGCAGTGATTAATTTTATATGTGTGTCAACATCATTCAGAGATTTTTATTTCCTTTATATTTTGCTATGCTGCAAAATACTAAAATTACATAAAACATCAGATGAAGCTTCTTTACAAATGTGTCCTGTGAAATAGTGATACTTTCAAATGGTACTTTAAAGTGCTTTGTTATTTATGTGTGAGAGCTCAAGCAGGCTTCCCCACACATACAGAGGACAACTTTGCCAAGTAGGTTTTCTCTTTCCATCATTAAGTGGGTCCCAGAATTTGAACTCAGGTCACCAAGCTTTTGTGGCAAACTCCTTTACCCACTGGGCCATTTTGCCCGCCTTTTTCAGTCACTTAGATTAAGTTTCATTGCAAGCAATTGAGGAATTCCTCCCACTTGGCTCCGATGAGATGCCTATGCTCTCACTTGTATATCTTCGTAATTTAAAAATCTGATGTTCCAGGGGTCTTTTCAGAAACTCATACTCCAACCAAGTACCATGCATGAAGATAACCTAGAACCCCTGCACAGATGTAGCCCATGGCAGTTTAGTGTCCAAGTGGGTTACATAGTAATGGGAAGAGGGACTGCCTCTGACATAATCTGATAGGCCTGTTCTTTGATCACCTCCCCTTGAGGAGGGAGCAGCCTTACCAGGCCACAGAAGATGACAAAGCAGCCACTCTGGATGTGATCTGATAGACTAAGATTAGAAGGAAGGAGAGGAGGACCTCCGCTATCAGTGGGCTTGGGGAGGGGCATGCATGAAGGAGAAGGGAAGGTGGGATTAGGAGGGGAGGAGGAATGGGTTTATGGGGGGATACAAAGTGAATAAAGTATAATTAATAAACAAATAAAATAAAAAAACTAAAAAAATCTGATGTTAGAAGGAGTTTTAGCACTGGTAAAGATGAAAGAACAATAAATATTTTATCAAATCCCAAAGCTAACACGGAAGAGCTGGCTCACACCTTCAAGGCTTCCTGTTAGAGGCTCAGCTCAGGTGTCTGCTGGGAAAAGGGATAGTTCTCCATGCCTCATGGGGTCTTCACAAACAGGTGACTCACCTGTCACCCACAGCAGTGTCTAGCACCCATGCTGTCAGACTGGCACGGAGGACTCTCAGAAAACATGTCACTAAAAAGCTTTTTCCCCAGTGACCGTTACTCCCTTGACCTTGTGCTTCATATGGTTTTAATAAACTGCATTTTACAAAACGACTGTGTTCCTATACCCAAATATTTTAGTTGGCTTTTAAGTGAATAATTTTAAAATGAACATAGTTCAATTCTTGCACATAGTTGAAGAAATAATAATGGCAAAAGTCTTTCAAAAACAGAAATTAACATGTTGGTGAGGCACAAAATTTACATGCTTGTCTTTATTGTTGTTCTGGAAGCATAAATACATTAAAATGCATCCTGAAAAACAAACAGCTCTTTGAAATTAATAACATTTAAATCTGCAGAACAAAATACAGGAAATAAGGTGAGCCAAAATCTATTGATTAATATAAGAAAAATCACCCTAAGGCTGTTTTCAGAGACAATGTTGAGTCCTCACAACCAAACCAAGAGACAGGAGGGAAGAAAGGGTTTAAGAACGACAGCCTACAAGACTTCCCTGCAGAACAAACAGCTGTGAGCCAGGTACACCTGTGAGTTCATCTCCCTAGTGTGAAATGGAGATGTGTGAGCCAGCAGCTTCCTCAGGCTCACTCTCACTTCTAGTCATTTCCAACACAACGCACAGCACTGCAATCGCCCAGGCGGTGTGAGGGCGGGACCACATGTGGGTCGTCATGGAGGGGGCACACATGGGGCATCAGCTGGGACGGGCAGTCCCAGTGGAAGCGAGACTCAAGACAGGAAAGTGTGGTTTGTTTGGTTTTTGTTTTTTGTTGGTTAGTTTCTGTATCAGAAGTTTTATAACTTCTCAGACTTAAGATCTTGAATAATTTTATTCCTTGCATTTGGTTATTTAAACACAGACTAAAACACCTTTTAATGCAAAATATAAGCATAAGAAGATATTCGTCTCAGAATAATGCCATCTCAAAGTGGGATTCAAGAGCCAAGTAGGAAAAACTTGAAGGAAAAGTCTGTGATAAGCCTTGATTGCTTTGCATGTAAAAAGTGCTCACAATAATTTTCATATTGCAGTATGTGAGCTGCTCTCATTTCTCTCCCTGCCATGTGTAAAAAAATGAAATTTATGTGATTTTACAAAGGAAATTATTTCACCTTGAGTGTCACTATGACAGCCGCAGGATACGCCAAACCAACCATGTGATAGGTCTTCCTGTACATCCTAAAAAAGACAGAATAATTGCGTATGCATCATTCATTTGCTCAACACTTTCAGCTGTTCTCACGTATCAAGAAAAGGCAACTCTTGATCTCTTCTCCTTGTGTCCCCACCGTGACAACGGGACAATAGCAGCCGTTGTTTCTTTGGGTGACAGCCGACATAGCATTTGTCTACTCCGCGACTCTGGAAAGTGATCTCAGCCTCTGTGCAATGGCAGCTTTCTCTGAGCGTCATGCAATTAATAGGCCAACTGTACTCCCCTTGTCCAGTGACACTTTTCACAGGCCACCCCATCTGTGACAGCTGCATACTCTTAGGTCCACTTGTGTACTGGAGGCTGAATGGCGGGAACATGCTTCTACACATGTTTAGATTATCTGCTCACTCATTCACTCACTTTAGAATAGCTGCTGTTACAGGGAAACAGATCTTTCAAAATTTATAAAATTCAATGCAAGGCAGAGTCTAGTGAAGAAGACCCCCAGACAGAAAACCACAATTAGCTTCTGTCTGGGACTGTGACGGCTTTGTGGCTATTCCCCAGGGCTCTGGAAAGAGGTGGTTCTAGTATCAATGTCTCTTACTTTTACATCAAATTGGCATACAAGAAGCTGTATTCTGTAGATTCAGTTTTGTGACTTTCCCTCCTAAAATATAAGGAGAACATTGTAATTTGATTAAATATGAGAGATGTGGCCAATAGGAGAAATAGCCGAGGGAAAATATTCTGCGTTTCTAATAAGAGTCACTGTGGAAACACAGGAACATTTTTGAATACGTGGTCTACGTATTAAAATGCAGAAAATGCTTTGCTGTGCAAAAATCAATGATTTTTCAAATAATAGTGAAAAACAAATGCTTTCTCAGGCTTTCCTTTGACACACGTCACGGGAGCTCGGTATTGAAAATATGTTTATTCATGGCTATCCTACCTCCCCATGTCACCACAGAGATATTTTCCTGTTTCGTTTTCATCATTACCTTAAATAATCATAAGCTATTTTTAGGTCTGGGTGATCAGTATAAAAACAAACTTCTTTACTGAAAGACATCAAAACAGTTTACAACTAAAAGATTTTGTTAATTACCTCAGGAGATAAGGACAATTACTTCAATCCTGCAGAGCAGGAAATGTGCTTATCACACACAGGTTCCAAAAAACAATTACTGCTACTGAAGACACTTAGCTGTGGATTCTAAGGAAAGAGTCTTTATATACACATTTTTTCCTATAATCATCATGAGGAAAAGAGGAATGGGGTGGAAGGAAGGGCAATGAACAGGAAAATGATCAATACAAAAGCTAATATGAACATTTTAAGCATTAAATAGTATTAAATCAGTGAGATTTCCTGGCACAGGAAGGAAGAGAGAATGGGGAAGCATAGAGAACCCATACTTTGAATTATAAATTAGCCACTTGGTAGCTCTGTGGCATTTGGAGCCATCTTTAGTAGTTCATTTATAAAAAAGAGAGGCATAAGCTTTCCATGAAAAGCAAAGAATGTGGATGCTGGATGCAGTCTAATAAACCCAACAGTAGAGAGCTCTTGTCGCTATCACTGGAACTACCTTCATCACCTCCCAGACAATCCTGCTGGTTCCAACTTCACATAACTCAGACCTCCTGGGCCAGTGGCTGCTCTTATACCACAGAATTCCCTAGCCTGGGTAACAGACTGTGAACATACTATCACTTATTATAGAATGCAAAAAGGCAAGACCAGTTGCCAAAAAAAAAAAAAAAAAAAAAAAAAAAAAAAAAAAAAAAAAAAAAAACCCAAAAACTTTATTAACTTATCTTCTTAATCATATCATCAAGCATAGAAATGTAAACTTGTAAATTGTATATTCTAGCAAATAAAATGATAGCAAATAAAAAAAAATCAGCATGACTGCTCTAGGACAGCTTTATGCAGCTGCCTTTCACTTAGTAAACAGGTGATGCATCATAAATCTCAGAAAAAGACTCATGAATATCTTAGAATCCAAGTAAAATTATAATGCATCATTTTTTAAGGTTTCTCTAATACTATGAAATATAATTTCAAACCTTAGAAGCAAAAAAACCCAAAAAAACAAAAACCCAAACCCAAAAAAACAAAACAAAACAAACAAACGAAAACCACTCTTATTCTCAACATTGTATCATTGTTCTGGATAGCATTTGGGCAAATAATTGCCCAGACTTGCTGAGGTACTGGGTCTTGTGAGAGAGACTTTTGGGGAGAAGCAACAAGATATATTTTCAGGTTTAAAGGTAATTACTTTTGAAAATTCAAGAAAAATATATCAATAATGGGAGTTTGACTTGCTAGATAAAGATTACATTTCTAAACACTTTAAGCATGTTAATTTACAATAATTAAATTTTCATATAGTTATCTTCTGGGCATTTGAAATTTGTATTGAAAGTAAGATTTGTTTGATGTTGCATATAAAAAAATAGAAATGTATCAGGTCAATATATGAATCCTGAATTCATAACATTGTCTCGTAAGATTCAGTTGGATCTTATTCACAGCTTGCATTGATTTTTCAGCTTGCCAGGGTTTGCAGTATTTTAAACAAGGAAGATAACACACAGTCCCTTAGCAAGCCAAGCGTGATGCTTCACTCGAGACTCTCTGAAATGCTGCTTAGATGTTTTTAATTTGATGCCATGGGAAATCAGTAACCCTCATACAAAAGGAATATGACTGTAGACATTTTCCTCAGCCCGACCTCCTTGCTTTAGTATCTGCATCAGGCAATTAAGAGTCGTCACTGACTAGAGTGTCTTTAGTATTCTTTTATGTAAGCTAATCAGATGTAGCTAGGAAGCATGCAAAGTAATTTGAATCATCACTCACTGGAGGCTCTTTTGGGTTGTATACTCATGGAATTAACTTTTGAAGTTTTATCACTATGCTCCTAACACATCTTTAAACTGCATTTCAATAGCACTCTTGTTATACTTTCTCATTTACACTTTGAAATTTCAGTATCCTTTCCATTGTTCCTTTGGTTGGAAATGGTGTTCCAAAATATTGAGAGATGAAAAAAAAAAAGAAAGAAAGAAAAAGAAGGAAAGAAAGAAAGAAAGAGAAAGAAAGAAAGAAAGAAAGAAAGAAAGAAAGAAAGAAAGAAAGAAAGAAAGAAAGAAAGAAACAGAGAGAGAAAAAGTCCAGAATTCACTTAAGGGTGCTAAAACTGAGCATGGTGACACAAGCCTTAAGTCTCCAGACTCCTGAGACAGAAGAAATAAAAATTTAAGGCCAGCCTGACCTAACCAGTCACTGTGTCAAAAACAGTGCCCTGATAAATAACTGTCTGTCCTTCAGTCTGCTCAGTTCAAAATACCAAATTTCCCACTTTACATATAATTAAATATGTATTTCTTAATCTGAGGGATTCCAGATAAATGTTTTCCAGTTTTGTCACATTGTTAATGGTCTTTCTATAGTTTTAATTCTGAAACATCTCAACTTTATAGAAAGAAGGTTAGCCTTTTCTTATAAAGATAAAAGGGAAAAAGTCACCGTGTGACACTTGGCCGTATTAATATGTGTTAGCATGTAAAACCCGGTGATTCTATGGGGGGGGAGGGGGGTGTCTTCTCTCAGCAACACAAATGCTGAAAACTAAGTCCTCCAAAGTGGAAGTAAAAGAGATTTTATCTCATGATGGAAACAGAGAAGGGGGAAATCTTTTCTATTTAGGACAAAAAAAAAAAAAAAAAGACTTACTTGACTTTGAAATAAAGACTACTATGCATTATAAGATTTCTTTTAGGAGTTATTGTAATTTATTTACATGAAATTAATTGATAGCTTATGAGCATGTTGGAAATGTTTATAAACAGATATCCACATGGGCATATGTTTCCAAATGGGCATAATTTCAATCATTTTGTCATCTTACTAGAAATAAGAAAGCATCAAGGCTAGGTGGCTTTGTTGTGGGCCTATTCATCGGCAAGGCCAAACTGTCCACTCTTGTCAGACTAATGGTGGCATGTAGAGCTTTGATGTATGGAACACGCTTGCTGCCTCTTAGATTCTCCTATCTTGGGACGTGCACTATGCTGCTTAACTTACCTTTCCACAAAAATCCCAGCCTGAACAGCATGGACAATGCTTCGAAACTTTGGCTTTTCATCGGCTTTCTTTTTCATTATCCCCATTTTTCGTGTAAAGGTTGAAGCCAACCAGTCTCGGACTTCCAATGGGACTGAGTCGTTTTGAATGTCGCTGAGCTCATCCTCGGTGTCCAGGAGTCTTCTATAAACACATGCACAGGATAAGCGCTGGGAAAGGGGAGCAAAGACTAAAAAGGAAACAAGTATCACGATGAATTGTTTGTTTGTTTGTTTTGCTTCACTATTTTAAATGGCACACTGTTCTCAATTCTTTAACATAAGCTGTTTATAAAAACTGAATTTACATTTGGAAATCTCTAAGTTTTCAAGCTGGTCACATTCTGGAGGCATCAAATGATACAAGATAGCACCTGCTGCTCCCCAAATACTGATGAATAGTATTAGCAGTGGCTGTTATCAGTTGTCAATCTCATTGATCCGCTATCCTAATGTTGAGTAAAGCAAAGCAGAAAAGAAAGAAAGTTCATAAGTAAGTTTGCTGAGTGAGGAAACAAGTAGAATGGAATGGAAAAGGAGGTTGGGGCTATAAAAATTCTTAGATTTAATTTTTCTACATAGTGCAGATAGTAAGTGTTATTTGAATTTTTTGATGGTTCCAAAAGTCATTTATATGTGCTATTTCATGAAGTAAGTTCTTAATTAATGAAATAACTTATTCTAAAATAGTCTTTCTAACAGTATTACTACAGATCTTACAACATTAAAAAGACAGAACAAAACATAAGAGAAGGAAACAAGGGCAGTGAGTTGGCTCATCAAGCAAAGGACTTGCCATGAAAGCCTGAGACCTGAGTTCAAGCCCCAGAACCCATGTGGAAAGAGAGACTGGCATTCACACATGTGCTATGGCTCTCTCTCTTTGCTCTCTCTCTCCCATCAATACTCTTACATAAGCAATAATAAATTAAATTTTAAAATAAAGGTAAAAGGGTTGGAGCTGTCCCTTAGTATCCATGGGGAATTAAGGGTGCTGTCCCACTCCTAAGATGTCAAAATCATCACATGTTCAAGTCCCATTTATAAAATATCAGGTTAGGTGCACAGGAACCACGAAGAATAGCATTATCATCTACACCTTAAATCAGTTCTCCATTCTACATAACACCTCATAAGATGCACGCGCCATGTATGTACACATGTATGTGTGTCATACTGTGGTGTTTAAAGAAGAATGACAAAAAATTATACACACTGAGTCCAGATGCAATTTTTCCCCCAGATGCTTCTAGTTGTTTGAACCCAAAGCCATGGTATGCAAGGATGCAAAGTGGTATGTTGAAAGCTCATTTCTGGAGACTGGAACTCTCTAAAGGAGAGGAACACTGACAGTCAAGAGCTAATTTTAACATTAGGATGAAGCTTTCATGGGTTTAGAACTTCTGATTAAGATACAAGTGTCCCAGAACTTGGTGGGGGTGGGAGGCTGAGGCAGGAGGATTGCAAATTTGAGGCCAACTTGAGCCAGCTTCAAATGAAATCTAGTCTCAACAAAACCAGAACAACACAGAGAACTGCTGGCCGAGGGCATCAACAGAGTCAAGGAGACACTGGGTATTAACTGGTGAAGACTGGTGCTCTGGCTGAAAAGGCGCAACAGCTGCCTCAGAGCAGGCTCCTGAGGAGACAGTCTGACTGAGGGCCTGCTGGGGTCTGCCGCTGGGAACCTCCTAAAGACTTGGACTGGAGATAATAAACAAAAGGTTTCCAAATAAGTACAATCCCAGCTACACAGATCAGTCTACTTGGTCTACAGAACACCAGCTAGCTTGTCCTGTGGTCTGCACTGGCCATTCTCTTGAGAATGCACCAGATCAATAACCCGGATATCCTTGGCCCACTTTAGTGTTGACCTTTGTGTTCTGACAATCAGCGTGATCCTTTAAATGGCCCCATCTATGTGTTGCTTCCTTCTGTACACACCCAATACTTATTTTTCATGATATTAAATAAGTACATATGTATTTATGAAATACCTTAGCAAAAATAAACACTACTTCAGTGCTGGAGTTAAAAAACAATCTGTACACATAAGACAAAAGACATACAGTTGATTAATCATACTGATTAATACTCACTTTGTGATTTTTTAAGTTTCTTTTGCTTCTTATGTTTGAGTGAGTTTGATCTAAAGTTAGACCACTGCAATTCAAAGTAAAAAAAATTGTTGGCTCTTTTGATCATTTTAAATTAGGTTTCTTCACTAATTTTAACATGGTTCTATACTACATGCCTTGAAATTTTCATTACTTAAAGATTATCCCATTTTTATCTTTTAATGCAGTGATCGACTAAAACTACAGAGCAGGGCAGTTGGAATAGGAACCATTGTGGTGGAATTGTGTGATGTCACCACGTTCCTCTCATTCTTCTCTCCCTGTTCTTACTAGCTGGTGAAACAGAATGCCAGGTGAGTGGCAAGCGGTCCCCTCTTAGTCACATATATTAGTATTCGGAATCTGAAGGCTGTATATCCTAAACTCACAAACTGCCCAAGACAGACGGTCAAAGCAGTCAGAATCCATGTCTATATAACCCTGTAAATACATGCTCAAACTGGGATGTTACTCTGGCAATTTCTAGTTATAATGCATGTAAATCTTTATTGAGGAAGAGTGTGCAATTTCGGGCATGGGGGTGGGTAGAGTAATCTATATTTAGTATAGAATAACAGAGTAAAGGAAGCGAGTGTCCAAAGGGCAAAGCATGGGATATGCCACTGTGTACGGAAAAAGACAAATCTTCAAACAGCAGCAGATACTTGCCTAGCGGCTCATTTGGTATGGCACTGGAGGGGTGTGAAGCCCAGCTGAGTGTTTTTATATGCTCATCTGGATGTTTTCTCTAAAGATATTCTTTTCCATGTGAAGATGGAACAAAGTAAATTACCCTCCAAAATGTGGATAGGCCTCACTGAATCAGCTGAAGGCCTTAAATATAAGATGGTGTTAACTAAAGAGAAAATTCTGAGTTGGGATGATTTCCAGATTCAAGATCATAGCATCAATTGCCTATGATTTCCAGCCCATTAGTCTACCTTGCCAATTGCAAGAGAATCATTAAAACATGCTTCCCACCCTCTCTCCTATATGAAGAGCGTGGAGGAACTGCCAGTGTAGAGTTTAAGTCATATATTAATCTTGATTTCTGAAAGCATATTGCTCCTATTGCTAGTTTTACTATATAAAGGAAATCCTATGTAAAGTAAACATTTAAACACCATATTCTTTAGACATGTCAAAATTGTTGGTAACCAGAATAATGAAATAGTGGGCATTAATGTTGTAGACCTTTAACCCTAGGACTCAGGAGGCAGTAACAGGTGGGTCTATGTGAGTTTGAGGCCAGCCCACTCCACATAAT